GTAGGTTACACATGATCATAGAGCGTCAGCTAGGGTGATTTTTTTTTAAGGATTCGGGGCCCGAGAGTGGAGGAGTGGAGGAGGGTAAACTGGGAAAATTGTGTTGCTGTTAGCTTCTTAGCGCCAAAGATGACATCCAATACACATACAAGTGCACCTGGTACATATCCGCAAACCAGTGACAAAAACACAATCCCCAGCAGCGCTTTCAAGTACGGGCGCCCAAAACACATGCGCCCGGGCACGCAACAACGCACCACCTCAAAGAAGTTCAAGTGTCTTGCTAAAGTGGAGTGCTCAAGTGATGTACGAGTGCACACACACATGCTTGAAACGCATAGTTGGGACAACCAAAAGAAATCCTACCCCCTCCCCCTCAAAGGTCTAGGGTGATCATCAATATGTGTATATATATATAGATAGATGTAAGTCGTCGCCAGCCACGCTGCCCCTGTAACACGTGATGCTTGATCCAACGTGCCGCCTCTTGGCCCTTGAAGCGCGGTTGATACAGTATGTTGATTGCCGCCGCGAAAAGTTTCAAGAGTGAATCAGGCGCTATAATAGTATTAAACATAGTACTGCAGTAAGGCAATGTAACACTATTACATGAAAAAAGCTACTATATGAGATATGAGATATGAGATCTAAATGCGTAACCGCAAAACAAGTTACACAAAGTTCAATGTTCTGGGTGCGGTTCAATTCACCGTGCACCCACGGGGCGCTTGCAAAAAAAGGCACTGAGGTAATGAGGTGGTTGCGCATATTCGAGCCGCTTCGCGACGAGTACCATCTGTACCCAGTGAATAGATGTGAATAGGACAGAGAGAAAAGAAGCGGGCTCTTGGCAGTCGAGTGGGGTAAAACTTGGATGTCGGTGGCCGAACACGAAGCAACTTGGGCATAACTTGCGCCGTACTCGGGCCAGTTGGCTTCAACTTGGGCGTAACTTGAGCGCTGGGGTCCAACGTGGTGCAACTTAGGCCCGTTTGAGTGCAAGTTGGATTTACCATGCGCAACTTGGTACCGCGCGCTATGTTGGACCCAACTTGGGCCCTTTGGCGATAGCTTCACACCAAGCTGGGCCCAACAGAGGCACAACGTTGGGAAAATTGCTCAACACGAAGTGTCATCGATGCCACAAAAACGTGGAAAATACCTGTGTTTTGAATTGTTTTGAGGATTTCATATTTGGCCGGCCCTGGCACCTATTTTGAAGCAACTTGGGGCCAAGTTGCAGCATGGGCCGAAAGTTGGAGCCAAGTGGGTCCAAGTTGGGCCGAGGTTGAGGCTAAGTGGAGCCCATGTTGTGGCCATGCCGGGCCGAAACGGTGAATTCAGATGGTATTGTGCTGATATGCAAAAAATGTAAATTGCTGCAGGCTTGGATCCTGAAAATGCCGCCCCCTGCACCAGTTGAACTAACTGTCCATTTGTATCATCCGCTACTAAACTACCACGCCTCGGCACCTTCGGTGCGGGCAGATTTTACCAGGTCAGGTAGGAGGGGAGTTTGATTTTTAAAGATGATGAGCATATACGATACAAAATAAAAAGAAATAAGCCACACAACGCAGAGAAATCTTTAATCATGCTGCGTAAAAAATGATTTTTAACCAGCCACAGACGCAGATGTTGATGTTTTAGGGTTTAGGTTCAGACCACCAAAATGAAGAGCAAATTTTATGGAGATAAGTTTGATAGACAAAAGCTAGGAGGGGATCAAGATGGATAAAGTAGAACGAGATCAGATGGAGATTGGTAGAGAGCGGTAGAGATATGTACTGTAGAGATAAATTACATTTGGTAGAGTAGACAGGACATTGTTTAGAGAGTTTGACTTCGGGGATTGATTTATTGGACATTACAACCGGCACGCACATGTGTACATGTAAATATATATATATATAATATAATATTGAGTATCATTTAACCACACATACAGATATGTAACATGCACTCAGTTGTTTATTACATATGTGACATGTTTGACATGTATACGTACTTATGTGCATGCACGCGTGTTCCTTTACAATACACATACTACTAAACCATAGGAAGCCCCCAAAAAAAACGTTGGTTCCATTTTCACAGGCGACTTGATCATGCTGTGGATGCCCCAGGGCTTGAAAATGGAGCTGGTCGTCCCCACGAGCGCAATAGCCCACGGGCATGTCCATTTGCAAGTGAGTCGCCTGAAAGTGGACAGTTTCAATATGCTGCAAAGTTCCAAGTACGTGTTAAACCACTTATATAGAACATCCAAAAAAAAAACTTACACTTACTGTAGAACATCAGTTGTGCACATGGCGATGTTCCAGGTGTATGTCCGCTGATGTCTCAAAACAGCTGTTCAAGCTTTGCTGCGGATATAGGGATCATGATGGAGCACGATTATTCGCCTGCATTCAGGTTGCCATGCGTTACCCGATTTTCAATCAAACCAAAGTGCGTACCTTAAAAGTTTTAGCCTCCAGTCCGCCAGGGCCACTTTTTTTCCCAAAAGCATCTTCGATGCTTGGGTTCTCGTTTAGTTGTTTAACCGCGTGGGGGAGCGACCTGGCTCGAACGGTGGTGTGCGGACGGCGTGGGTGCAAGGGAAAGGAAAGGAAAGGAAAGGAAAGGAAGGGAAACGAAAGGAAAGGAAAGGAAGGGAAAGGAAGGGAAAGGAAGGAAAAAGGAAGGAAAAAGGAAGGGAAAGGAAGGGAAAGGAAGGGAAAGGAAGGGAAAGGAAGGGAAAGGAAGGAAAAGGGAGGGAAAGGAAGGGAAAGGAAGGGAAAGGAAGGGAAAGGAAGGGAAAGAAAGGGAAAGGAAGGGAAGGGATGGGAAAGGAAGGGAAAGGAAGGGAAAGGATGGGAAAGGAACGGAAAAGGATGGGAAAGGAAGGGAAAGGAATGGAGCGGACGGCTGCGGACGGCCTGGGTGCAAGGGAATGGCTGGAAATGGGCGGGGAGAAAAGCCGCTGGTGATGAGCGAGCTTGGCTGCGCGGACGGCTGCGGACGGGGAATGGGTTCGGAGAAGTGCGCAGACGGTTGGCGCGAGCGCAACGTTGTGGCTGCAATTGGATGGGGAGAAGAAGCCGCTGGTGATGAGCGACCTTGGCTGCGCGGACGGCTGCGGGCGGCAAATGGATGCGGAGAACTGCGCGGACGGCTGCGGACGGCGTGGGTGCAAACGGAGTGGCTGGAAATGGGTGGGGAGAAGAAGCCGCTGGTGATGAGCGACTTGGGCTGCGCGGACGGCTGCGGACGGCAAATGGGTGTGGAGAACTGCACGGACGGCTGCGGACGGCGTGGGTGCAAGGGGATGGCTGGAAATGGGTGGGGAGAAGAAGCCGCTGGTGATGAGCGACCTTGGCTGCGCGGACGGCTGCGGACGGCAAATGGGTGCGGAGAACTGCGTGGACGGCTGCAGACGGCGTGGGTGCAATGGAGTGGCTGGAAATGGGTGGGGAGAAGAAGCCGCTGGTGATGAGCGACCTTGGCTGCGCGGACGGCTGCGGACGGCAAATGGGTGCGGAGAACTGCGTGGACGGCTGCGGACGGCATGGGTGCAACGGAGTGGGTGGAAATGGGTGGGGAGAAGAAGCCGCTGGTGATGAGCGAGCTTGGCTGCGCGTGGACGCTGCGGACTGCAAATTTTACGTGCTGAGAAACTTCGCTTGACGGCTGCCTTCACTATCTTGGGTTCCAAGGGGGTGGCTGGAAATGGGTGGGGAGAAGAAGCCGCTGGTGATGAGCGAGCTTGGCTGCGCGGACGGCTGCGGACGGCAAATGGGTGTGGAGAACTGCGCGGATGGCTGCGGACGGCGTGGGTGCAACGGAGTGGCTGGAAATGGGTGGGGAGAAGGGAAAGGAAGGGAAAGGATGGGAAAGGAAGGGACAGGAAGGGAAAGGAAGGGACAGGAAGGGAAAGGAAGGGAAAGGATGGGAAAGGAAGGAAAAGGGAAGGGAAAGGAAGGGAAAGGATGGGAAAGGAAGGGAAAGGAAGGGAAAGGATGTGAAAGGAACGGAAAAGGATGGGAAA